CTGTATCCTTTTGATCCCTTGTTCTCCAACTGATACAAAAAAGATTCTTATAGTGAGTTATTCCCATTTCCATTCCACTGTCTTCTCAAATTTTACTAAAAGGCAAGCTCCCAGAGGGCAGGAATTTTTGTCGGACTTACTGTCAAATCCAATTCACCTGAAACAGTTCTGACACATAGGAAGGGCTCCATAAACACTACAATGTCAGCAAGGGACTTAAATCTGAAACTTGCTGCTGCAAAACGTATTGCCTCCATCCCCGTTAGCAAAGACTAAGGAGATTCCTGGGCTCCCCGGCCTCGCCGCCAGGATGGCAGGCGCCCTTTCTCTAAGTGGCTCTCCCACAAACGACGTAGACGGGCTGCGATGCGGGAGGAAGAAACCGCAAAATCCTCCCCACGCGTGACAAGAGAAGGGACAGGACAGACACCGATAGCACCACCTCCGACCCACGGAGGGCTGCACGAACACCCAGCACATAGCTCATGCCGTCCTCCTAGCCTCACCGGACGCACGAGCCAGACAGCGCCCAGACAGGAGGAGGTCGCTCACCGGCGCAGGTGTGACGCAAGACTCGCGAGAAAAGGGAGAAACCGGAAAGTCAGTGGCGTGCGTAGTCGAAACGCGGCGCGCCAACGCCGCGGGAAACCCGCCCCCTTAACGCGTTAGTTCCGGGAGCTTTTTCACCGGCGGGAGCGGAGAAGTCAACGCCGCCAAGCGGTGAGTGGGGCTGATTTCAAGTTTAAAATGAAATGAAATTCCCGACCGGGCCCAGGAGGGGTCGAGGTAGGCGACACAGCGGATAGCGCCGCCTCTGGGAAACTGGAAAGATTCAGACGTCCTAAAGCAGTAAAAAAACTAGGAAAAGGAGAGTGGGCCTAGAGCTGAGAATGCAAAATAAGGAGTCACAAAAAAATTGGCAATCAATACAAATATTTTAATGCGATGTTTAAAACGAAAATTGATGCAAAAAAATTCGTGCTGAACAAAAAATTCGTATTTTAATTAAATACAAGATTCAAGCCATACTGGATTCCGGGGCACTTGGAAAAAATATGCCCCCCCCCCCATTTCTACGTATTTAAAAAAAAAAAATCCAAAACATTAAATTTTAACTTGAAGAAATATTGAGTACTTGAAAAGTAGGTGTATTAAAACTCACAGTATTGTTTAAAGTTTAAATATTTATACCAAAAACACTTTATTATAATTTTACTTTCCTGGCTTTAATGCACAAACACTGATTGATAATATTTTCAATATCTACTTATTTCCAACTGCAAGAATTGTCATGTCTGACAACTTTTCTTGACCAAGTGGCTATCCTGAATAATTTTAATTAACTTCAGCTTACAGATCTTGTATTTATTTAAAAATCTGGTATTGTTTATCATGGATTTTTTTATTAATTTTAATATTTTTAAGATATTGCACTAAAGTATCATTAACCTGGATGGTTGAATCTTTGGTGCCCCTTAAATTTTGCCTCCTTCACCCTAATCTTGGCCCTGGTAATGAAGAGGAGTCTGGAGCCCTACCAATTGCAGAATAAAGGCCAGAGGGGGTCACCCCCTTATCCTGGTCCTTGCACTGTCCAGCTTCTGGAAAAGGAAGGTGCCCTCCAGATCATTCTAACACATGCAGATTTCCTCAGGACCCAACTTAAAACCCTTCAATGTCCACCTTTGCCCTTGAAAGGAAAAACCATGAACTGCTTAACATGGTTTCCTTGTTACAACTCGACCCACTCAAAAGTCTGACTTAATAGTTGGTATTATTGACATAGAACATCCCAAACCTGTAGAAAAGTTTGACAAGTTTATTGAGCTAAATTGATGACATGTGCTGGGGAGGAAGATGTGACATACTCCGTAGATTGGCAGTTTTGCAGTTTATTTTATACATTAGAATCAAAGAAGATGTAAGGAAGGTGCATGAAATTCAGTGATGGTACATTAAGAAAGTGGAAGAAAGTGGGGACGAGGGATCGGGAAATGTCTAGGCTTGGATACAAGACAAATGGAGAAACTTCTTTTACATCGGAGGGCACAGAATAGTAATAATTGACACAGCACATAGAGGTGGTTGTGGGGCACAAGATAACGATGAGGACTTCTGTGGTCTCACACTGCGGTGCTGACGATTGTGTCTTCTATTGTGTCTTTGAGGCACAAGAAAACGAAATACTCTGGCATTTCAAATGTATGTTATGCTAGCTGCGTAAGAACAATGGACAGAGGTCACTTAAAGATTGACCTTTGCCAAAGGCCTGGGATGCCCAGTTAAGAATTCATAATCAGACCATCCTGTGGGGTTACTTGGGGTCACTGAGCTTGTCAGGCCTGCCTTGTGCTCTCCCCCCCCCACCCCCTTCACAAGGCTTGTCGGTTTTATTGCACAGTCCTCTGTTCTTTCACGGTATATTTCTAGACATTTAGCTCCATTGTCTGTCTCCCTTCCCAATGTTGAGTTCCTGAAACACTATTGTTAACCAATAAAGATTTGAGGTTGTAAAAAAAAATTAAAAGTTTATTTGGAATATTGAAGGATTCAAATCCAAACAAGGAAGATTTGGGAAGCAATCCAACTGCACTCTGGAGAGAAGAACAAAAGAAGGCGGGGTTTATAAAGGCAAAACCCACAAAATGCCATTCTTTCATGCAAATGAAGGATTGCTGCTAGCTTACCAAGGATTGGTTGATTCCAGTATGCAAATGAGGGGACAAAAGTACAAAGAAGGAAGGTCCATAGAAGTCCAGGTAGCAGCTGTTGTTCCAGGATGTTTGTCGCTGGGCTTTGAGCTGAGTTTAGCAACAAGGTTTAGCAACTTAATAACAGCTCTGAGAACTGGGGCACAAGGTGTGCCTCACGGCTTTAATAGCCTCCTATTTTAAGGGACCCCCTCAGCAACTTTTATTCCATTTTATTATACCATCTTCAGGCCTTATACGGGTATGAATTGTTCCACATTCCACCCACTAAATCACTACTGTCAGTGCCCTTCCGTGATTTCCTATTTAAAAATCCTCCTTCCCCTTGAGACGTTAAGTCAAATAAAAAACTAAATTTGTCTTTTCCTTTAAAGACGATGTTCCCCCTTCCAAGCTCCTCATTTGTGTTAGTGGTACCAAAATTCTCCCAGACTTGAACTTTGAAACTATCTTTCTTTAAAACTTGTCCCTGATCCCCTACCTCAATTCATCCATATTCAGTCATTTGGCCCTAAAAGTTCTTTCTTTGTTATACCACTAATCTCTCCCTCTTTCTTTGTGTCCACAAGTACTTTGTAGTGAGAAGCATAAAAAGGTTGGTCTAAAAAAAAAAAAAAAAAACAAAAAGCACCATGCACATTGAAAATAGACCCAGTATCTTCCACATCCGGCAGTGTCTATGCAGCTGCCTTCTCTTTTGGTGACTTCCTGCCCCATGGGGACCAGCAAAAGAGAGAGGGAGAGAAACCAATAATCTGCCACCCAGTACATTCAGGGGTCACGGTAGGAACGTGGTAGAGAAGAAATTATAGTCCCTAGTAGGAGTAGTTGTCATTGGCTAAGAAGACAAGTATGACCAAAAAATTCTCGTCTATACATTGCATACTCTTAATCTGCCTGTTTATAAACCACAAATTGGGGTTGACCTTGTACTCTACTGCAAAGGACAAGGCTGGCTTGGGAGAGGCAAGAGATAAATTAACTCAATTTTAAAGCCTTGAATAAAGATTGGTTTTTAAAAATGGCAATGGGCAATATGGAGCACTATACCCCCACTAAATTGCATGGAAAGAATTGCTACTGTGAGACAGGAAAAAAACTGTATAATGGTTTATTCAATTGAAAAATAACAAACATTAAGGGAAAAGAAGAAAATAAGGCATAAAAAAACCTTACAAACCATTTATAGGCTATCTTTATTAACGTGACACAGTTATCAAATACCTTAATGACCAACATTATTTTATACCATAGACTGGCCATTATAAGCTTTTGGGCCTGTGCAACAGCCTCAAAGCCAAGACCTGTTAGTACAAGCCTACTAAATTGTCACCCATCTACTTGTGAAATGGTTTCCAACATAAGTTTCTCATTCTTTGGTAGTTACATATTACAAAGCCGAGTGCTTTACCCAGATTTGGCTTTGGATAAGATAAAAACCTTTATTTACAAATATTCTATTCCTTTAAAAATATGTACAAAGAAAAGGGTTGGGGATAAAATATGATAAAAATCACAGGAAACAAAGCCAAATTTTGATAAAATCAAGGAGAAATCAGTGACCTGCAGAAAATCAAAACCAGTCATAGCACTTACAAGAGTGTCAGGGCAAACAGACCGAGGAGGAACAATCACATCCAACTTCTTTCATCCCCACGACCCAGTCCTTCTGTCCCATCAGTCTTATTTCTACTCGCCTCAAAAAACGATGAAGTCATTTATACTTAATAAATACGGTATCCGAGAACGAGATCATCTCCGCTCAGAGAGCACAGTAGGAAAACTCAAGTGGCTGAGAATTCTTTCACGAATACCATCATATAGCGTGGGAGACATTTGGTGAAATCGAGGTGCACTTTCTTGTATGCTGATGCCTCAACTCAAAACAAGGTTGTGTTTCTTTCTATGTGCAGGGAGAGCCACTGGGATCCCTCCTGGGTCATTCGCTAGAGCAGCCTCTTAGTCCACAGGCTGCAGCGAGGACTGATTCCTTCTCTCCCATCAGGTCAGAAGCCCACGCTTTCCCGTTGTGCCCAATGGATGTGAGAAATGAACTCTGGGTGGGCGGCGTTAGGAATAGAACAACAGAGGAGATGATTGTGCCTGAGACCATTGCTGTAGGACACCTCAGTCACTTTAGGATCTTGGCTATAAGTACTAGATCAGGAATACATTTGGCATCTCCGGGCATTGAAGTTGGTTAATCCCTCCATTTACAAGAGCGACTTTGGCACAGTCAGTGTTCACTGTGGGTCGGTGTGAGATGAGGCCCTAGGAGGAAGAACTCCCTTAGGTGAAGCTCAAAGACTTCGCACTCTTTCCTCCCACCAGGCGTTTGGGGCGTGATGCTGTGGGGGCCCCCAAGGCCTCAAGGTCACTGTGGCCTTCCTGGGGGGACAGGGCCTGCTGCACTTCTCTCAGTTTCCTGGCAATGAAAGAGGAAAAGCATGTTACTCCGTCCTAAATTAGAGATATTTATGATCAACGCTAACATACAGACAGCGATTTCTTTTTACTTCGGTATTTACAGAAACAAGCCTAAGCTGTACACGGAACAGCAAGTCCGCTCCCGTGGTCGTCTTAGAAGATGGCCGGCACACGTGTGCCGCCACACGCACCCCGTTAGTTTCCCAAATCCTGCTGATGGGGGCATACATTGTCTTTAAAATTTAAAAAAAATTGAGGGAGTGGGAGCAGCTCTACAGGCTACATATGAAGGCACAGCACAACAGCCCCTGGGCCACGTCTGGCCAGCCACCTGCTTTTGCTAATAAAGTTTTATTGGAAAACGTAGCCACCCTCATTCACTTACATGTTGCCTCTCACATTACTGCAGCAGAGTTGAGTCATGGCAGCCAAGATCAAATGGCCCACAGTGTAAAATATTTACCACCTAGCTCTTTATGGCACAGTTTGCCAACCCCGGTCTAGACAAGTGCAAGAAGGCAGCTGCCCCTGCTCTATGATGGGTGCCCATTACTGGTCATTGCTGATGACAGTCATCTGTGCCTGTATAGGTGGCTTCACAGGATGCACACAGCACGCCTGAAGGAAAACTTACATTCCTGTGATTATGTGTATGTGTGTGTCTTATTAGGTAGGAAGATGGAATCCAAAACAAGAGCAAAAAGATATTAAGCTGCTTATTAGGAACGATTACCTGACTAAAAGCTTAGAGTCTCCACAAGTCATTGCCAAGAAATCATTTTGGGGCCTCTGCAGGGTAATTACTCTAAGATGGATTGCGTATCCAAAAGAAGCTGGACTTCTGAGCATATTTTACACACGCACCATGTTTTCATCTTCTTTTATGTTAGTGCACAGTGTATATAACAATCACTTTTAAATGCCTTCAGAACTCTGCTCACACGTCACTGCCTGACCTTTATACCAGCCCCACCCCATCTCATTAATTCCCATTTGTTTAATGAGGGGACAGATTAATGAACTAATGCACCCATGAATACAAGCTAATATGAAGAAGTAATCAGGCTGCTTCTTTTGGTTTGAAAAAGTATCTCTTCCTCTGAACACGGACCAACAGGGAGTAGCTGCCTGCCCCTGAAATTTAGTGGAATCCTGAAACAGGTCTCTTCTCACCTTAACTAGGGTTCCCTTGCACTGGGAGACCATTCGTCAGTTTCTAGAACACGTGTTGTCACTGAGAACCCTACTACGTTTTCTTCCCCAGTTGTATTCCCTTATATTCTTCACTTGGCTTCCTTCGAGTTAACTGAATGCTCTCAGTCACAGCGCCTCCAGCCTGTGCTGCAAAGGGCCTCAGGCTGCTACTCACTTTCTGGGCGGAAACCTGTGTATTACAATGCCGGGTTCCACTCGCATCCATAGAGAAGATACGCCAGTCATATCAGTATGAGCAGTACACAAATAGGTTCTTTCTCAACTCCGATACCCAACAGCTACCTTTCCAGTGTGGCTGTCTTCATCTTCTCCAAGTTCAGCTGCAGCTGGAGCTCTTCTGCTTTCCCCAGCGAGGAACGGAGAACTGGGCTTCTCACCAGGGCTGCTGCAGAGGGTCTCTCCCTCGGGGCCGGGTGGATCATACTCTGATGACCAAAGGAAACAGAAGCTTCAGTGTTGAGGAGATCTCCCCACCCAGGCCAACTCCAAGCCAGCTTCTGCTGGTGGGTTGGCTGAAACTGCTTCTCCTTTGTGCGGAGGGAGGAAGTAGATGACAACTTCGCTCCACCTGGGACAGGCCATCATCCGCATCTGGTAGCATCAGTCGCCCATACCTCTGACTTACCTTTCAGTATCATAGTTTAGAGCTGGTTGGATGACTAACTAGTCTGCTGCCTTAATTTTAAACAGGAAAAAATGGGTCCTGAAATAAAAAGTGGCTTGTCTAAGTCTTCGACAGGACCAAGACTGAAATCCAGGTTACCCAGCTCCTAGTTCAGCTTGCTTTCTACCACAGCATGCTCCTTTCTCACTTAAAATTACTTAAAGATACTGCACCGTGACAATATATTCCTACAGCCCTTGTCTTCAGGTGGGGGTGGGTGTCTGTAACCTAAAACAACTTGAAGACAGTAGAAAACACCTAATTACATGCAGCAGTTAGCAGTGTTATATAATGGGCCTTCCATCTAGGGACCGGCGTTCAGAGCCAGTTCCGCCATTAAGTTGGTCGTCTGGAGCAAGTCACTTGCCTATGCTGAAACTCTGTTTCCTTTCCCTGGTATTTGGGACAGCAGTATTCACCTTCTGGACTGTCCTGAGAATTAAGTGAATTAACATATATGTAGCACCTAGAACAGGGCCAGAACTGAGGCACCCGATAATTTCCTGCTACATGGGAGGGTAACTTACACATAAAACTAGGTGGTTACCCTGGGAACACAGACCACTGCAAGGAAGGGTTTGCCTCCTCCTTTCAGGAAAGCGGACGTGAGGCAGGACAAATCTGTAATTAAATTTGAAGTTTTCAGGCAAACTGCGAAATTCAGATTTAATCTCCAAGAAGGTAGATTATTTCTAAGGCTGTTTGGGGGATCCTAGTGGATCTTGTTCCTTAAGCCCTAGAGTAAGCCTTACATACTTTTTTTCTTAGTATAATTCTCAGCTTCTCGACAGTGCAGATTTTTTTGTGCCTCCTTCAGTGTGAGACCGCCCTTCCCTTGTCCCTACACACACTGAGATGTCACTGAGTACAAGTGACACACAGATTCCTGGGTTGCCATTACGTTTCTTTCAGCAGCTCAAATGGTTGGTGCTATTGTCACTTATTAATAAATTAACTTATACTTTCTTCTATACACTCAAAACCCAGTGTTTGTTTTGTTTGTTTGTTTGTTTAGTAATCACATCACTGCTACTATTGATAATAGTTAAGATCCCAAAATAGAAGCAAAAAGACCAGGTTTCATTTTGGAGTCCGTTGATTATCGAAGGTGGATTACAAGTCAGGAAACCATTGTGAGCCTTGACTTTCTCAACTGCCCACCTCACAGGGTCGTTCAGAAAGGCAAATGGAAAGAATGTAACCAGATTTTTAAACCATCGCATAAAAGGTCTCTCTGATAGTCCCTAAATGTCCCCAAGAAGCCTTCAGTCCGCTGTTTGTCTGCTGGCTTCCCGCTCGTGAGCCCTCTTCCTTCTGTCAGTGACACTACCAACATCTCCACTTCCCTCCCCCACCCACTTGCCATTACATTTTTTTTAAATGCATATATATTTCATCTCCTCGTTTCACGAGAGAGCGCACCTTGAGCAGACTGTAGAATTCTCCCGAGAGCTCCTGAGGAATGTGCGGAAGGTGACCCTGGCGGATGTGATGCCACGAGGCGCCGTTGCTGGGTAAGGGCTCTGCGCCCGCAGCCACCGCCATCGTCAGTCCCAAGGCGAATATGTCTCCTTTGGGGAGATGCTGATAATCCTGCCAAACAGAAGACAGGCAGGCCAGTTGGCTTGCCAAGTGACGTGAGTCTAGACGAAGATACACCGGGTGAGAAAGGTTCATCAGAGTGAGTGTAGGCTTAAACAGACTCATTGGGCAGGGCCACGTCCACGGTGGTGACAGGTTTACTTCTAGGAAGACAGCAGAGGGCAGAGCACAGTCCACCCGACTGACACCGCGGTGCCAGGCCTGACCCCACAGACATCCTAGGAGGTGGGCAGTGACTAAAGGCCTTCTCAGTGACCAGAGCCGGCACACTGTCCAAGCGTAGGTAGCATGATAATGGTGGGTTGGACCAGTAAAGTCTTCCATCTGCTGGGCAATCCATGAGCTTGGGAATTCTAGGAAATACTAGAAACGGTCAAGAACCTTTACAAAGAACAGTACAAATACTGATTAATCCATGAATGAGCCAGCTTTCCTCATGCTTTCTGGGGAAAATTTCTCTCCTATCTTTGGTCTCCATTCTGAATAGGAAAAGGAATAACATAAGTTTACATTATAAATATGTACTTTTCCTTTTTTCGTTTGAGAGCCAGAAGGTTCAGTGGGTTACAAAACAGCCTCCATTCCCCTAATGCATACCTCTTGCAAAATCTCCTTAGCCAGGAAGTGGATATCTCCCTCTTCCACTTTGGGTTTGCTTATTGATGTTGCAAGACCTAAGTCTCCTGAAAAAGAAAGGAACAGAGCTCCTTAAAAGCGTGGCTTGCTTAAAACAGAAACGGATGGAGTCATCAGTATAAATTTTATAGGAAAACAGAATGCAGGCCAGGATACAAGGCAGACTCACCAATTTTGTACATCACATTAGCAGAGAGAAACCAGTCGGCGTCATTTTCAGTCTCTTCTTGGACCGCCAGCGAGTCACTTTGCATCTGATGACAAATGAAGATGTTACCTGCAAAAATACAGGGTTGACGTAAATAATGATTCCTAAGATTTTTCACCCCAAAGGCTTTTTGGATTTGCCATCCCAGCCACTCCCCTCTCTTCCTCTTCCGTGTGACTTACAACAGGAGGAGGTTTCTCTTTTTCCCTGGGATCTCTCACACTGCCTCTGAGCAGTTTGCTCAATGATGGACAGCGTAACACCTCATTAAGTGATAGTGACGTCATACATAACCCCATCCTCCAAAGAGGCTGGTGGCCTCAAAACAAAGAAATAAGGAGGGAAACCCACAATACAGTAACAACGTCTCCTTGAGTTTCACACCGACGAGGCCCAAACCATGCATTTCTGCTCCCTTCAGTCCGTGTGAAGGGCACAGCAACAGTAAACACGGGACGGACCCAACACGTGGTCACTCGTACTTCAGCTTCACTATCTGGGAAAGAGTCTTTTCTTCCTCTGTCCCCTGGGCCCAGGGAGAAAACGGTGAAAGCCATTTAACTGAACTTGTTTAGGGCAAACTCATGACAGGAAAGGATTCTGCCAGCAAACAGCATCTCTGACACTGGATAGACACACAGGCACAGAGTCTGTCTAGAGCTCGGAGAGAACTGAGCGGGGCCGGAGGGGCCGGGGGAGCCGTACTGACTCGGTTTGATGTCCATGTGCACCATGCCAGAGCTGTGGATGTACTTGAGCCCCAGGGAAATCTGGAGGAGGATGTCTTTGAGCTCCGGCTCTTCAAAATGACTGCCGGACGTGGTGTTTTCAGCTATGGCAGCGTGCAAGCTCCCGCCTAGGAAAGAACAACCAAGAGGAACCCCACCACACACAGAATGAGAGAAAAGGTATAAATGTCACAGATGAAAGCTCAGTCAATAATCGTTAAATTTCTTGCAAATTTCCAGCGAATCTGGATGACTCCAGTGTCAACGCAAAACATAATAATATCTCCCCCTGTCTACACCACAGGCATGTTAGAAAGAAGGGTTACAGGGCTTTTAAAGGGGACACGAACAGGTCATATCCCCAGTATCCAATATGTGGCCCTAGTGCCTTGGGTATGCCTCAACTAACATTTTCAAAGTTTCACCTAATGATTAACCAGAAGGCCAATCGGCCTAAGTCACACAGTTACCATGGGTGTGATGATTAATTTCATGCCAGCGTCACTCTAGTCATTATAGCCCGTGAGTAATTTTAATGTCATTGATTCTAAGTTTAATTCCATTAAAAATATGTCATGAAACAAGAACATTTCAGGACTGCTGCCCCGAGGAAAGTGTGAAATGTCGATGCACGCCTAAACCCTGAGTCACTGTATCTGTTCCCCCACTAGAGGCTCCTGCTTTGTCACTGTCATCGTTGGACACGAGGCCTGGGCTCACCTGATTACCTGAGCCTGATGCCCTGCACTGAGGCAGGAGAACGTGTCTGACCCCCCATTTCATTAATTAGCATTTATCGGTAGCCCCTTCCGTCAAAATCACAAAGTCCTGTGTCTTCCTGGCAGTTATAAAGCCCAGTTCTACCTTTCAAGTGCCCATCAGAATAGGATCTCAGATGGCAATGGTATTTTTAAGGAAATCCATATTTAAGAGTATTCCATGAAAGAACTGAATTTGAAGCGTGATCTGTCATGTTAAAATAATTAAGTTCAGAAAGGAAAAGAATTCAGCGCCTTTCAGAAACACAAAGAGGGGCTAAAGGTGGTTTTTTCCACCCTGGGATCCTCCTCAGAAAAATAAAGTGTGCTCTACAGGTGACATTGACTAGGAAGGAAGACCAAGTGAAGGAGGAATGTGTTGGAGCTTGTGGAAAACGAGGTCCCCCGAGACTGAGTTTGCAGGTGAGGCTCTGAGGCAGGACACGGAGGGGAGGGCTGCGTCCAGGCCCCTGTCCACTTGGACTCTCGTTTCTCTCCCAGCCAGGGAGCCCTTCAGCGCAGGGCCTCCCCTAGGTCTGGCACCTAATAAATATCTTCTGATCTGAGTGTCTATCCTGGCGACCGAACGAAGAGAGAGACTGCGTCAAGGGTCCCGTAATAGGTATGGGAAGAGAGAAGCATGCTGGGAGTGCTCGGAAACCCTTGAACGTGTTCCTGTAGGTTAGACGCAGAAATATTTCTAATCCCCTGAAGAACTGCGGGTACTCAGTAAGGGCGACTAGACCAAGGCTGGCAGCACTTGCAATTACTCAGAAGCTCTGTAGGTAATATTAAAGTTAGCCAAGGAATCATTGACAATAGGAGAACTTACTGAAAAGTACCCGTGTATGCTGTATGCAAAGGTATTTGAATATCCCTTTTTTGTTACAGCTAATGCTGCTTGTCCACTTCTTGGAGACAAGCATAATTAACCGTTCTTGACTAAATAGCACACAGTAACAAGGAAGTATGTGTCTGTGGACGTAGCCGTACTGAGTGGACAGTAAACATCACCCCTGCTAACCTCACCGAGCCACACTGGAGCCTCAGCTGCGGAACCCCAGGCAGCCCCTGCGGTGGCTGTCGCCAGCTCTGGGCCCTGGAACGGACCGAGCAGCTCTGGGCAGCACTTCTCATACCCCCTTCAGGGCATGAGCTGCTGAATTCCTTCCTTTAGATAACATAAAGGTACTTGCCCTCTTGGCAGGGGAAAAAAACACAAAAACCTTAAGAGAAATACATCTACAGTTTTCCTGTCTGCTCATGCAGCTGATACAAAACCAAATACATAGTAATAAACAGCAAATGCAGACCGACAATTCAGCAGGATATTTTGTTCATACACTTGCACCCTCACAATCGTGGTTTGATGTTGCTACCTTCAACACGAGTTTATTTTGCTGCTGGTAAAGGGTTCCTGGTTCAGTGGAAAGTGTAACCCGCATTCACGGTATTTCACAGGGGACACCGACTTCCAGATGTCACATCACTCGGACAAACGGACAAACGTGAGAACCACCGTTCTCGATAAGCGCGCTCTGCCGAACCTCAGTGACAGAAGACGTCACTAGAAAATACAGCCTGCGGGGAGAGACTCATGGTCCAGTCCTGAATCAGGTGGGATCCCGGTGGTTGCAGAATCAGTCTGCTCCTGCAAACCTTCGGACGGCTGAGGCTGACCCTGCGGTGACTTGTAGGGAGGGGATCTCCGTGAGGGTTGGGGGAGGAGGAGGGAACACCGGTTCCCTGAATTGGTTCAGGGCCCCGAGGAGACAATCAGGGATTTCAGATGACTGCTAGTCTCTCGTAGTCACAATCGAAGTTGTGTTGAGTTATCTCAACCATCTTATTTACCATCTGAATTAAAACCATAACTGTGTATGTCCCAGCCTGATGCTACGACAGGCTGGGACAGGGGCACAGGGGGAAGGTGGGTATGAGGAGGGAAAGTTGAAGGGAGGGGGCTCAGGGGGAGTGAAGGGAGGAGAAGGGACAAGGCACTGGCTACTCTGCTACCTTACAGATTCTTTGGACTCGTCTTTTATTTAGAGCCACAGGGCAAAGTCTCAGCATGGAGTATCCATAGCTACAGACAAGACAAGGTAGAAGGGCATGCTTTATTTTCCCCGGTCAGTTCACATGCGAAAGGTTCAGAATATGTGAATTGCGTTAGGAGAAATCAAGAGTTACATTTTACTTGGCGAGTGCTCAGTGGAGTTAGTGAACCAGCATCACAAAAAGACAGTGATTGCTCATAATCTGTCACCTCCGGTCCAGACCCACTGCCTGGCTTTCACAGCCCTCTCTGTCTTCCCACAGTGCACCTTGCTTCTATTTCCTGCTATAGGGGCCCTTCCGTCCGTCCCATCGTGTCTCTACTGTCTGTGAGGCCAGACCCATTGCCAGCACCATCATGCCCTTTGCCTGCAGGCTGCCCCCTAACTGGACATCTTCCCGGTCCTTCCACAAACTCTCCTAATCCTCTGCAAGTCTTCCCTCCTGCAGATTTTCTCAGGCCACTCTAATAATAGCTGCTACAGACTTCTTACCATGTATCCTGTATTGTCACTGTGCTAGCATTTGATGTAGGTGGTGGCCAATTGTCAAACTACTCCCCTTAAAAAAACTAGTCTCTCAACTCAGTGAGATTAAGTGACATCCCAGCCAACATACAAGTAGCGTGCAGCAGAGCTGGGCTTCAACCCCAGGTCCGCCCGGCTCAAAAGCCCCGGCCCCTGCCTCCACTCCACAATGCCTCTTGCTGGCAGTCATCTTCTCTGAAAGCTTTTTAGCTGTAGTTGTGCCATCTGGCTTTGCACCTAATTGTCTCTTGCACGGTCACTGTAATGGAGCAAGTGGAATACAGCTCCTTGAAGATAAGGACTTACCTTATCTCACTGTACAGTGTTTCGTACCTACAGCTTAATACAGTGTCCAGCCTGAAGAAGGTATTGGAATGTTGAGAAGAATTAAAAGATGAGTTATAAGAGGAGCAATCACTCTTTCTCTCTTTTTTTTTTTTTTTTTTTTGGCCACTTTGAAATCTTTGCATTGCCCCAAATCTGTTTTGGTTTGCTTTATTGATTTTTGTTGCTTGGTATTATCTTTGTTAGTAGCTAAAAGTCATAGAGATAACATAAAAATAAAACCAATATTCTTACAGAGAGAAGGAGGAAAGGAACAGGGAATCTTGGGTCATGGTGAGGGAAATTAGGAAGAGGAGATGATAAGAAAAGTCTCAACTTTTCAATCCCCTCTGTAAAGATAGGGTCCGTTTTTGTTTTGTTTTGTTTTATCTCAAAGACACTGAGAAAAAGGGGGCTTGGGATGAGCTTATTGAAGGAAAACCCCACAAAGTCACAGACAAAGCTACAAAGGAATCAGGCTGTAAGGAAATAATAAGAGAAATGCGAAATTATGATTTGCACCGTTTTATATGGTTCTAGCATTTCATAATGCTATTTACTTACCCACCTGTGTATGTAACAGTGCATACAGTAATGAAGCATTACCACCGATCTCCGTGCTCACGAGCCAGGCTGGGCACGCGCATGCTCAGGGAAGACAGACCGCGTGCCCGTGCAGGAGCTCTGCGGGAGGGGGCGGGGGGAGGCGCGCTGGGGGAGGGGGATGCCCTTATCCAGTATCCCCGTGCCGGAATACGGACTGCCGCTCCCCAGAGGATGGCAAGCTTCTATTCCGTGCGGTGGCACTTCTATACTTTACCACTGAACTTTCTGATGGAAGGTGTTTCCGAGAACAACACCACACGGCCGCTGCTAAGTCGGCCCCTTCGTCGTGGATCAGAAATACGCTAAACCAGGAGACCGCTCTGTGACTGCAGGAGCCCAGAGAAAGTTCTGCTGGTTACCCTGCGCGTGCCGTCCTGAAGGTTCTAGGAGAACAGATCTGGAGGCCCTGAGTCTCAGACCCAGCCCCTCGCCCCGGGTCCTTACTCTGGGGAAAACCCTAGAGCTCCAAGGAAAGGAGCAGCAGGAAACACTGCAGCTGGTTCCCGAACTCAGCAGCCCACTTGAAAAGTAATCAAAAGTTGGCTGTATAAATTCACCGCCTCCGCCCCCCAAAATGGTGGGGACTATGCCGTATCCTTTAGAACTCCTAGCAAATGGTGAAAGGATGGGTTACCCTTCAAACCACTGGAGTCAGAGTTCTCTGGCATTAAGTAAAGTGGGAAGGGAGTGACAGCTTCTGTGAATCAGCTGCTCATCAGCTTCAAGAGTGACGTGGGGAATAGCGTAAACCTGAAGTCCCCGTCCGGCCCGACCCATGTCCTCCAGCTCCCCGCTTCCAAGCAAAGCGGCCGTGCACACATGTGGGCGTGACTCTGCCAAACAAGCTACAAGGAAGAGGCAGAGGTTTTCTTCTGAAGACTTACAAGTCCGTCTCCCTCCCCATCGTCGTCAGTGCGCATGCTTACCGTTGCAGTATTCGTTCTGAATGACCATGTGGTCATCCTCGACCCACGCGGAGTAGTAGCGGACCACGTGGGGATGATGGCCGAGCACCGAGTGAGCATAAACTTCATGCAAGGCCGAGTTCCTGAGACAGGGGAGCATGGAGAAAAATATGAACCAAGGCAACAGACATGCACGTGTTTTTCAAAGACAAGACACGGAGCATTATTAACCATGTCAGAACATTTGTTGAGTGCTTACTGCTTGCTTACTATTTCATCTCTAATGTCCATAACTACCAGTAAGATATGGTGGCAAGGGTAAAGGCTTTAGATTCTAAAGCCCCTGAGTTGACACAGGGGGGTCTAAATCATTTTCACTGGGAGTCACATCAGCCTTGAGGTTGGCTACAAAGGGCCGAATGTCATTTTAGGACTGTGTAAACGTAACTACTCCTTAATAGTATAGCAAGAGCTCAGCGCCACTGCCAGGTAGAAACAAGGTGCCAGGCCAGATAAAACAAGGTGGTGGACCACAGGCCACATTCGACCCACGGGCCTTGTGTTTGCCACCTGCGCTTTAGAAAATCCAGTGACTGGCCCAAAGTCAAGCCAGTGACAGGAGGCCTCAGACCAGAACCTTGGTCATCTTGGCACAAAAGTCCGTGTTTTTTTATCAAACGTGGCGGAAGTAAAGAGGAGGCCTAGGTGGTGCCACCTCAACAGCAGACAGGCTTTGGGCCTCTACGTCACTGTATCATAATCAGAGTACCCAGATGGGCTTCACGAGAAGGTCCCCATGGCCTTGACTGTGGGTGTTGTCCTGGGCCCTCCAGCTACTCCATGCAGGCCAGACAGTCCAAGCCAACATTAAACTCAGCCAACAGGGGACCAGGCGGACTGTCCTGGAGAGGAGTATTTATTGTGGAACAGGAAATCCAACACAAGAAAAGCAAAATACAGTATTCGGTGAGTTTCCGTGTAAAAATGGAGAATTCCAAAATCTATAATTCCAGATTTGGCTTAAGTATTATAGCCCCACAGTTCATTACAAGCTTTGGCTGGGTCTGAAAATGTTTGTTTTACTTGGGGAAAGGAAGAACAATTACTTCTGGGAATGAGATTTAAATTCTCTGTTAATCTTTTCTTGCGTGTAGTCCTTGAAACTTGGCTATTGAATTCATTATTAATACAAAGCAGAGATAGACCAAGGAGTTAACGATAACTTCCTACTTGGCAATGTTTCTGATGAGCTAAACAGACACTATAAGGTTATTCCATAAATCTATTAATTTTTAAAAAGCAGTAAGACCAAGGAGTAAAAGCCACAGAAACCACACAAGCGCATGTGCACACACACACACCACAAAATGACCCAAAATGACCGTGGTATGTTTTAGGAAGTAACTCATCTCCGATCTGGAAAACTCAGAAAGTTTTCTGAGGTTACAAATGGGAGACGACCTACAGTGGAGGGGTGGGGCGGTCTTTAAAAGCAGCGAACATTTTTCATAATGTCAGTGCTATTACTTAAAATATTTTGACAAGAAAAATGCTTTCCAAATCCAAGTCTGTGTTTCTAGTACATGTCAAAGGTACTCACTCATTGGATAATTGTGCAAAAGATTTCGTGGAGCGTTTTATTGCATAAACACATCCATCCAGCCTCTTAATGCACTTGTAGACTGTACCGAATTCCCCAACCCCGATCTTTTCTACCTCCATGAACTCTTTTTCATAGCGGGAAGTCATGTCGGTCTCTCGTAGGACACATCTCTGAAATATTGTAGTAAAAATAGTTAAAATCATCCTTCCTAAAGAAATTGTGAGCAATAAAATGGAGGCAGATTCCTAAATTTCTCTAGGTTTTAAAAAAAAAAAGGCTTCTGGGGCAATCCACTGGATTCTGTCTATACCACCACTATTCGTGGTAGCAAGAAGCTCCCCAGTTGCTGATGGCCTCCTCTGTACTTTCATTTCCTGTCTGGCCTCACTGTTTGGACCCGCGTGCTCCTGCAAGGGACATGTCTCCTCACAGCCGGAGCTCCTGCCCCTTGGCTGAAATGCTGCCTGGGGCCTGGGTGGAGCATGTTGGAAAAAAAACAAACCAAACAACCCCCCAGCCTGCCTTTGACCCCCTCTGCATGTCTTGCACTCTGGCTGCTAGTGTCTGTTATCTTGAGTAAGCACGCTTATACTTGTGTTCAGCTTGCTTCCTCACAAATCTTAGCTCGGAAAACACTTGTCAACTTGATTATTTCAGGTTACATGCTTAGATATTGTAACCACTTCCCCTGCTGGGCAAGTAGCAACATCACTGATTGCCCGGCTAGTAAATAACCTCAGGCGAAGCAGCTTTCTCATCTGTCAGATGAGGTTGATAGCAACCAGTCCTCAGGGTTCTTTTAAATACTACTCGAGAAGGGGGGGTGTGTGTGTGTGTGTGTGTGTGTGTGTGTGTGTGTGTGTGTGTGTGTGTGTGTGTGTGTGTGTGTGTGTGTGTGTGTGTGTGTGTGTTAGCACATGGTAAATTCTCAGTAAATGGTGGCTCTGATTTTCATGAATTCCTATCAATCTCCATCCAAGCTGATTTATCTCCACAAAGTCAGCATGATCCTAGTATCCCCATTAGCAAGAACTCTTATTCATCTAATTCTGAGTTTTAAAAATCTCGACTCTCCCTGGCTCTTCATTTTCCACATCCAACACCAGTCTCCATCAGCAAGATCTGCCCCCTTGCCCTGAGCCAGTCTCAAGCTCTGGTTCCTCCCTGTCTGGGTTCGCTAGAGCTACCGGCCCTCCCTCCATCTCCTCTGATAGTAAGAATCACTTCTGCAGAAGGGCACTGCAGCGTCGGACACACCTAACTGTTTCCTTCGAGGACCCCTTCCGATCAGAGGCCTCAAGGCCGCCTACCAGTCACCCACCCACTACCTTCCCATCCTCGCCTCCAACACCAAATAAGCCCACTTGCCGTCTGCCCCTCAAACTCAACCCCTCCCCTTCTGTGCATGGACCACTGAACTAGCCACATTTTGACGGCAAACACCTTAATGGCCGTGCGATATCCCACTGACTTTAACCTGTAATTTACTCGGCCATCCTATTATTGGACACTTAGCACTCCTATTTTATTTTATTTAGTTTTTTTTTGCTATATTACAGTTATGGCTGCAGTAAGTGTTTCTGGTGATGGTATTTACAGTGGCATTTTATTAGGTTAGATTATCAGATGAGAGATACTAGATCAAAACTTGTGAGGATTATCAAAATCAATACTGACATACTGATGAGCTAAAATTTTTATATGGAAACCTCTGGCTTCGTGCTATTTTTTTCTGTTCTGTTTTTCTTTGTTGAGCCCTTAGATATCTTGATTTTTCCTTTATTTCTCCACCCCATGGGTATAGAATTTCCCCCCAGATCAAAGACACAAGCAATAACCTTTAATATAAAAATACTCCAAGGTAATGATGCAGCAACGTGCCTATCAGACACTGTCAGGTGAAGTAACAACTAGCTAGTAATGCAGACCCTGATGAGAGTCCAGGTAAATTCAGATGCAAAGCACCTTTGCTACAGAGTGTCAGGAGTGGGGAGGAGTGAAGGAGGGAGGGGGGGGGCAGAGGAGAGAAGGAGGGGAGGAGAATGACTGTCACTACGGCACGGCACTGCGTACAGAGACCGGTGCTCACCTTGGCAGGCAGCCCTTGCTCTGCCTTGCCTTCGCCTGGATCAGCTTCCTCGCTTAAAAAAAAATGAAAAAGAAGTGGTATCAATATACAATTAGCACGTACTGATCTCAATACTATGAGGATAAGACCAAGACATCAAGGGATACTGCAGACAGTTCCCAACGAATTATTTCAAGAGTAAAAGTCTTCCCCAAAAGAGAGGATGTGTAAGCCTGGGTTCCAAGAGTGGGCAGGAGCCAGATGAAGGAAGGGAGCAGGGTTCCAGGCAAACAGAACAACATCTGCTGAGAACTGGGGGCAGGAAGGCACACAGAGCACACGTGAGGCCATCGGTGGTCTTCACCGCCACCCTGCACACTCCCCGCCCAACACCCGCCTCCCCAGGGCCCGGCTCTGTGTGGATGAGGTCCACGGGCAGAGTGTTAGTACAGCAGAAGGAGCTCTAACGCTGGCTAAGACGTTGTCGGTTCCTTTTCAGTGAGCTGAAGCCTCTGACAAACATCCTGTTTGCAAGATTTCAATTCCTACATCAGCCAAGCTGTAGATTTTTCTTCTGGAGAAGTATGGGATGGTAATGGCAAAGGGAAGGCATCCCACTCATGGAAATAAATGGATGCTTGACGTTTGTAACTTAAAATAAAATTACACTCGAAACTATAAAGTAACAACACAATAAATAAGAAAAATACCCTCTCAGAAGTACTAGGTGACATTACCAAATTGTCACCAATTTCCTTGCCAGGAATTCTGATTAACTGTCTAGTCCAACTAGCTTCAGTGACGAGTGAAAACATTCATTCTGACGATTTATAAATAATCCTAAATGGCTAAAACCAATAGAATTCTTGGTAACAAGAGTGGGCGGTTTCCTTGCGCTGAAGTCTGTTTATTTAAGATCCTGGAGGCCGTGCTGAGAAAACCTATCCTGGGCCCAAGGCTGGGTATACGTAGCCATTGATCCCAAAAGAAACAACTCAAGGTAACACATGAAGTACCCCCAAAACTTCAGATTGTTAGCAGTGCATTGTTTTGCTGAGTTCATGGCAACACACATGACTGGCTCGTTGGAGAGGTGGCTCCATTCAGTAAGGAAGCAGCCTTGGGGAGATTTTAGCAAAGAAATGCCCCTGAGGAATATGCACAATAGTGCAGTTGGCTTTTTAGCACTTCTGAAAGCGACACTATCTTCTCCCCTCCAGCCCACCTCCCGTCACCTGCAGAGAAGTTCAAATCCATGCCGCAGAGCTCCCACCGCCAGCCAGACAAGCTAGACTAGAAATGGAACGTACTCTTCGAAGTGTGAACTGCCCCGCCTGCTCCCCTTCTGTTGCCAGAGGCGATCCCGCCCTTGAAGGCAATCCCACAGCCCATTTATCTCCCTAATGGAAGTCAGAGGGCCACGGCGTTCTCCGTGCTGGCCTTTCCTGGAGAGGCCACCTCGCAGCACACCTCAGAGTGGGGAGATGCTGGAACCTCCGTGGCAAAGCCCGTGGAAGCCAACACTCTCCCTGCCTGTCGACCACGGTGGGGTCAGTTCTCCAAAGCCGCGGGCCGCAGCTTACTCACACGTCTCCTCGGAGTTTCCTCTTGCCACCGGACTGAAGGAACTGTTTCCTGTAGGACTCCGGGGTGAAGGGGTTAATATTCACCAGAGCTGATGAGGTCGCTTCGTCTGCGAAGGACGCGGGTGTGAGCCTGAAGTGCTTGGAGGCACGGGCGAACGGCTTCCCCGTCGAGGAAATCACGGGCTGGCTCAGCTGGCCCTGGGGGGAGGATGGCAAAGGGCAAATCCGAACGGGGTTAGTAAAGAAAAGAAAACGGTGGCCTGTCAGCTAGCTAGTTAATATTTGAACCAAAGCCTGTCATTGCTGAAAGGGGCCGTAGAGGTTACCTGCTCCCGTGTAAGCTAGTCGCTTCATAAGTGGTCCTCTGACGAAAATGCAGATTCCCAGGCTCCCCCCTGAGAGTCTGACCGGGGCCCAACACGGGAAGCTGTACTTCTTTGCGTCCCCGGCCAGTGCTGGGGCCGTTCCGACAGGCAGCTTGGAAAACCACCAACGCCATCCAGTCCTACCTCCGACTTTTTAAGGATGCCATTTAAGCTTAGACAAATGGAAATGACTTTAGAAGACCTGGTCCTTACGTTCTTAGAATGTATACTTGAACTTGCCCTCAGGTCTTCATCAAAATGTGGGCTGGGTGCCCACCAAGTAGCTGAGGCCGGGCTGGCCGCTGGGAGGGGGGCCGAGGTGAATTCCGGCTCTTTAGGGAGGGACGGTCCACTAGGCAGCGGTTCATCAGTGTTTCAGAAATAACCACTTGGTAGGGGAAAGATTTCATAGACTAAACACGGGAGAAGAGGTTTCCAATTCCCCTTAGGATGTAGGCGCCAAATAAAGTAGGGTTTAAAAAAAACCCAAAAAACTGAGAAGTAACTCTCAGCCCCTCAGCTTCAACGCCCTACCACCAAATAGAAAAACGTGCGGGACGTGAGGCCACAAGCAGGTGACGGGAGGAGAACACGGGCCTGTAACCTCACCAGAACTAAACCGTGAAGCAGAGGGCAGCGGTCAGAGACACGGAGCTCCGAAGAGACAGCGGGACGCTGATATGACCCGATGCCAGCGGCCGGAGGAGCTGCCCCAGGTCCTCGGGAGCACACGGTGGACACGGAGGCCCTGACCCTGTACCTCAAGGCTCTTTCTAAAAGATTTCTGCTCTTCCCAGAGTCCCTGCCCTTGGCTTTCCGGTGCAGATGCAGAAGGTGGGTCACAACATGAGTCACTGCATGGCAGCATTCACACACATGTAAAGAACTCGGGGTCCAGAAAAATGAGTCTTGCACCTGCACATACGACATGATTGCTGCAAGCAGAAAAGAAGGAAGCTGTAGAGCACACGTTATATTTTTCTTCATTTAAAAAAAACCCTAACTTTTTTTTAATGAAGAAAGCGATGTCACTGCCAGAGTCGAGGGTTTTACACACGTCTTAGAGTTCAAAGGGTGAGCGAGCCTGGGGAGGCTGGCGGAGAGCCGTCAGCAACAGCCTTCCTACATGTTCTTTATAGGGCCGTGTGTCGGTGCTAAAGACGTGCAACTGTGTAGTACTTCTCACATGTCACGTGACTCAGGACATGAATTTAGAATTCCAGTAAACCACCCTGGCTGGCATAGCTCAGTGGATTGAGCACGGGCTGCAAACCAAAGCATCACAGGTTCGATTCCCAGTCAGGGCACATGCCTGGGTTGCAGGCCACGGCCCCCAGCAACTGCACATTGATTGTTTCTCTCTCTCTCTCTCTTTCTCCCTCCCTTCTCTCTCTAAAAATAAATATATAAAATCTTTTTTAAAAAACTTAAAAAAAAAGAATTACAGTAAACCATTCCCTAAGAAAGAGCTTTTCTTTTCTTTTTTAATGCTGAACATCGTGTGGAAAGTAAAACGCTTCCATCCCACACGAAGCAGGGACGTGGCTGCCCCTGGAGGCTGCACAGAATGCTCCGGCTGCCACACCTCAAGGCCCACAAATGAGGCCTGGACACTTTTCAGGCAAAAGGAAGGAAAAGTACTCAGATCTGGGCAGACGATACCAGAATCCCTGGTTTGAAAACGTAATGACTGATAGATTTTGTGATCTCCACTTACAGTATAGGGAAGGGTATCAGATACATTCATATGGATTGTATTACCAGAATGTCAGAATTATGAGTAATCCACTTGAAACCTAAAAGAATGTAGTTTGGAACAAGATTTGTGAAAGGAATCTCAGAGAAGTAAAGCAGGTGGAAAGTTTCCAGAAAGATGACCAGGTTGAGGGTATAAATATGCCCCAGACAGCATAGCTCATTCCATGAGTAACAGCTCTATTATAGAGGGTTAAGAGAAAAAAAGGGGAATTGGGGGAATAGCCCCCTGACTTCTGAATTGGTGGGAGAAGCTGGCAACCTCCCACTAAGGCACAACATCACAGGGTCTTGGGACTGGGGAAAAAAGTTAAAGGCCCAGTTGGTACAATTAGCCCCGATGCTTAAACCCCTTCTGCATTTCCACCAAGTGGACATATAGCCATTAGGGCCTCACTGCCTCCTAAGGAAGCTCTTCTGTCTCTATCTCCGTCCTGCAGGAAGCCCCGATGGTGAGCCGAAGTCACTCCACACGATTTCTGGTCCTGCCCTTGGGCAGGGCTGAACTAAACCAACATTCCCTTCCCGAGTGTCCCGGTCTCGGGCATAACCTCTCCAGTTATCACTGCCCTGGCCTCTCCCCTCTGACCCTGACCCAAACCCTGTTCTTCATAAAGTATGTGCTTTCCCAGTTACACTTCCAAGTTCCCTCCCAAGCTCTGCTCTCTGCCTGTCCCTCAAATCCTGGCACCATCCAAGATCCCTGACTTGAACCACGTCCCTTCTTACTCAGGCCACACGGACTTACCCGCACCCAAGTCCATGTATAGATCTCCGACTTCTATTGTTTTCCTGTGCTCAGGCCCATCTGTCCAAGTGTCTACATGACCTCTCCGCTTTTGCCAAACCTGCACCTCCTCTCCTGCCACCTGCCTTGATGCAAGGAACCATGCACTCAAAGCAGCAAGAGGCCCGACTGCACCCGAGGTCTGTCTTTTTCCCTCAGCCCCTCCGTCAAGTCAGTTACGATTCCTCCGTTTACCGCTGTTGTCGTTCGGGCTCTTCCCCTTCTCAGCAAATCTACCGAGAAATCTCCCGCCCCGCCACCGGATCTCTCCCGCTCCATCCCGTCCTCCACATGAAGGTCGTGAGTTTGCCGAGATGCCTCTGCCCAAAACCCTTGAATGGCCCTCTCAGCATCTTTAGGATAAAGCCTTGACGGAGCTCCTGCCTGCCGACTCTGGCCTCACCGCCTGCCCTCTGACCCTCACGGGCTTGTCACGTGGAGCAACATGCGGTTTTCCCAGGGCCGCACGGCCTCTGCCCTCCATCATTCGGTAGACATTTTCCCTCGGCCTCGAGTTCCCACGCCTTTCTTCTTTGCCAGGCAAACCCCAACCTACTCTTTAAGACTTTCTCAAACATCACTTTCTTTGGCAAGGCTTCTCTGATGTCTTGAGACCTAATGCCTCATCCTTTCTCCTCGCGGGTGCCGCTCCTCTAGCAAACCTGATCTGAACTTGCATGATCGTTTCCGGTGTGTGCTTATCTTTACTTTGTGGGCGCTTTCTGAAGGCAGTAAATGGGTGGGACCGCAGAGGGTCAGCGAGCATGTCAGGGTGTCCAGTTAAGTTTTAAACGAGCGAACGAAATGTACATACCGTGTCTTCTTAACCTGTGTACTTTCGCCCAGCGCCACATTCCCTCCGCCCTCTCTCCACTACTTGCTATGTGTCACAAACACACCAGCTTTCATTAGCCTTCACGCGCCTCCTTCCCCTGTGTATCTTTCCTGAGAAGCAGCCCCCCACAGAACCCTGATGGCTCTTGGAGCCCCTACTACCCAGTGTCTGTAGGCCCCCCTCATCTCTCTCACACACCGTGTCCCATGCTCCTTGCCCACGGTGGGTTCTCAAAACAAACAAAAAAGAAAGAAGGAAATCAGTGGATGACCGGCTGATTGGTATTGGGACCTTTGGAAAACCCACAGACAGACACGTGAGCATATGAAAGTGGTTTGTTTACAGCTCAGACAGGAAGCCCAGTGCTCCCTGTGGACGTGGTGCCCATGCGCACAGAGACCTGCAGGCAGGGACTGCGCTGGCCTCAGCAGCACAGATGTCGTCACGATGATCTGAAGCGCTTCACGCTGAGCCAGCAGGAAGCAGGGCTGATCCCAGCCCTCAGGCTCACACACCAGGGCCCAGCCCATTGGAGGCCGCCCTGCCCGGCCCTGGCTTTCATGACCCATTGGGGGATGATGTAGCAGGAGACCAGTCGCAACAAGAACGAAGGAATATGCTAACTACTTGGAAGCTTCACTTTTCTGCAGTCCTCAGCTTGTGCAGAAGTGTCAGCAGGTCACCTCTTGGCTCACATGCAGTAGAAGAGCCTGAACTCGACAAGGCCCAGGAGGGGAGAAGACTTCCTCCTGGGAAGAGCAGCAGCCAGGAGAGACGCATGTGCTCCGACCGGGAACAGGAACATTCTTACATGAGGAAACATTAGGAAATAATCACATAAAGATAGAGCCAGTTGTCGTCATGGAAAGACTGGGCTCAGACCGAGAGATCAGGTTTCCAGTCCTGTCTCTGCCGCTGGCTGAGCAAAGAGCCAGGTTATCACCAGAGACCTTGACTTTCTCCTGAGCGGCGTGCACGGCCCGGGCGCTGCCTTTCAGCATGCCTGCCGGTGCCAGCGTTCTTTACCTGGGAGCTTTCCCCACCCAACACTCATCTGCAGCCCCCACCGAACAGGCGCTGCCACCAGTGGCTTTGAGAAGACAGACGGCGAGACATTCAGCTCTGTTTTCGGAAAACTTTAAACTCTTCCTCACTTTCACCAAGAAAAACATAACTGGGGATAAGTGAGGCTGAGAGGCAAGTCTATCACAGACACACAAAGGGCCGAGTCCCCTTCCTCCTCCAGCTGAACCGCAGGAACCTGGGTCCGCCCCCCGCCCCTCCACCACGTACTCACTTTGGGAGTGAAGGGGCTCTCACAGTGCAGCAGCTTTCGCCGGTCGCCTGGCTGGGTTGGCGTGGCAGGGCACGTGAGGGGTTCTGACACCAGAGTCCTCAAAACAGGCTCTGGACTCCCTGTGTCTTTTTCCCGAAGTGCGAGCTCTCGTGCTTCGCTGAGGGGTGTGCTGGGAAGTATGAACTTGGCCTTTGAGTCAGGAGCTTCCGACTTCTCTGGGGTGCAGCTCCGGGCCTCCCTGCCCTCTGGGCCTTCCCGCTGTCCTCCGTTCTCACTCTCGTCTTCACAGCCCGAGAAGTTCAGTTTCTGCTTTAGTTCTTTGTTAATGCCGCCGTCGTCCATCTCGGCCAGAGCTCTACGACCGGGCGGGAAGGCCCGGCCGAGGGAAGCCATGAGGAGATGCAGGGTAAGGAGGAGACCCTGGGCCTGCAAGGCCACACGGTCCAGCCCGGCCTTCCCTCTGTCGTCCACCCGCCACACGGAGACACCACTGGGTCTCTCCCTTAAGTACCGCGCGTCTGCAGGCTCTCAGCTTGTCCTTATTTCCATTCTGATTAAAGAAAGTGCCAGCAACGCTTCGAGCAACGAAAGCCAAGTTATGCTGAAACACTTGTGGATCTTCCACACGGTCTCCCTGAACCCACGGGCTACAGAATGCTAGTGAGACAGTGGGCTCCTTTAATGTAGCGTGGATTTAGAGACACCCATTAGCCAATCTGGGAACAAACTCATTACTGAAAAAGAAATCATTTTCACTCGTTTTTACACCTACCATTTAGAAATCTCACCCTCTCCTCTCTTCCTATCCCCACCCACCCAGTAGCTAAGAAAAGTTCATCAGAATTCAGCATCACTGGGATATAGTAATGATCTTTAAACGGCTTCTAACACACCTAGGCTGGAGGTCGTCCCCCAAAGAGAGACACATTTGAGATCTTTGCCAGACACACCTGCCTTAATTCAGGTGCCCCACTCACGCACGCCACCCACCGCCAGGTGTTGGCAGTTAAAGCTTTCGAGGAATCAGACGACTCTTCAGACTGAGGAAAGAAAAGCTCGAAAGATCAGTAACACGAAGAAGCAGACACGTATCACTTGGAAATGGCAATTACTCTGGCCCCTGGTGTCTTATTGGGAAAAATGTGTTTTCTTACTGCTTGGGAGTCCTTAGCACACATTAGTCCATTTCCTTCTCAGAGAGGCGCCCCCCCCTGGGGGGAGGTTTAAACACTCTTTGAAGGAAAAAACCCCACCGCGTCCCCTCATGAGAGAACGCATGTGAGAGGCAGTCCGTGAAAAAAGGAAAATGACACTGCTGATCCCCTCCAGCCCCAGGAGAGACTCAGGAGGTAGCAAGGGTGAGAAACCGCTCATGTGATGAGTGTGGGTCCAGAGAGAGGCCCCCGAGGATGAGTTTGATGTTGACTCAGAGGAATTTAATTCCTCTCCTCTTGACAGCCTTTCCGTTTCTCTCTCCTCCCCCAACCTCCCCCTCCCCCCACCCACCTTCTCTCTCGCTCCGTTCCCATTCCCATTCCCACCCTGCTCTGCCCGGCCTCGCCGGCCGCCGCAGTCTGTTCTCCAGCCGGCAGCCAAAGGGGTCCCATCGTAAAGGTTCCTGTCCTCGGGTCCTGCAGGGCCTCTTGGCCCACTGAGAAGATGAGGCCAGCCCGGGCACCAAGGCCCCAGGCCTCTGCCTCCCCCCACACAACCCGCTGGACGCCCGCCATCCCCCTCGCACACTCCGGTCTAGACTCCCTACCGTCCCTGCACCCTTCCCCCGCAGGTCCCGCTCACCGGCTCCCTGCGGGTGTCTCCTCAACAACCCCAAGAAGCGCCGTCACCCATCCTCCGGCCCCTCACTCTGTGTCCCATTCTTCACAGCACTGACGGCTACGTCATATACTACGTAGTCAATGGCTCGTTTTCAAAAGCGTGTCTTCCCCATCCCACCCCCAGTAGAGTCTAAATTCCACAAGGGCAAGTTGGAGGTCCTGTTCCCATGGCCTGGGACAGGGCTTGACCTGTAGCCGGTGCTAAGAATCGAGGCGCCTGCTGTGCGTTCTGTGTATCCTCATGACGGGCACTGCTGCAGAGTGATACCTTTTATGAGTTTTCCCATTTTTGATTTTCAACTCGAATGCAAATTTCAGAGGCCTGAAAGTCAGGAATATGCTGATTTTAAGTAACTTAGTGACTGTGAATATATATCCTACTTTATTAATCCCTACACCACCAACCTGAGCTCAGCCCCTGGGGTCTGTGATTTACTCTCCTTCCAGCCTGGGATGCACCACCTGGTGCCCCCGGCCCAGATGACCTGGGAGGAGTGGCGGGCAGGAGCAGTGCAGATGGGCCGGCCTGACGGCTAACACAGTCTGACTCACGAAATAAACACAGGAAGGAAGCCAGGAGTCTGCACGGACCAGGAACCCCGGTGTCTCCGGATGGCTGTGGGTCCTCAGTATCCGACCGTGGGACTTAAGTTCACGGGTCAGGTATGGGTGTGGATAGTCCTCAGTCATTCGATTCTTTTCTTGATCTGCATTCACACTCTCGATTGCACCCAGTGACATGTCAGCCTGTCCCATAATCTGGACTCCTGCCTGGGCCACTAGGGTTTGCCCTGACTGGCTAATGACGCAGAGAGACCTCGGAGGCAGGGAAACCCGGTCCTCGCTTGCATGGCAGGCTGCTCCTGGCAGGATCAAGTGGCTCAGTTATATGAATGCGTTGGTGTGCCTCCGGTAAGCGTTTCATTCTTGTGCCATTTGAGTGGAAAAAAAAATCCCACTTGTGTTTTTGGAAAATGGATAAAGTAATTTTAAATTTGACAAAGAAAAATAATTGTCAAAAAAAAGAGCAGAAGATTTTTTTAAAGAGTACAAAAGACAACCCTTCCAAGAAATAAAACTTTAAATTATGGATGTATATAATTTTTTAATCCTTACCCAAGGATATATTTATTGATTTTAGAGAGAGGACAAGAGGGAGAAAGGGAGGGAGAGAGAGAGAGAGAGAGAGAGGGAGGGAGACGGAGTGGGAGGAAGGGAGGAAGGGAGGGAGAGAGAAAAATCAATCCAATAGGTTGCCATCATAGGTGCCCCGACCAGGGATTGAACACCTGCAACCTAGGCATGTACCCTGACTGGGAATCTGGGAATCGAACCTTCATCCTTTTGGTGTACAGGATGATGCAGCAATCAGCAATTTAATATTGCACTTTAAAGGAGAATTATCATCATAGGACATCAAAGACTTATTTAATAAGTAATGTAGCAATCATCGGTTAACTATTCAATAAGAGATTTTAGAGTCTCACTTCATATCACATATCAATATAAACATCAAACAAATTGAGATCAAAATCATTCTACGACTACCTAGAAGAAAATAAAATTGAACGTCGATCAGATTTCTGGGTGTAGGCCAACTTTCTAAATGTCAAAGCAGCATAAACAATCACCAAAAGAATCGCTAAATTTGACTACATAAAATTTAGAACTTCAGTATTTCATTAAGCAACTAGGCTGTATAGAAACCACACAATAAATTGGAAATGGTACTAACAAAAATTACTCCAGGCAAAAAATGACTCTTCATAGCGCCTCCAGGAGCCGTGCAAAGGGGTGACAAGAGCGGAAGGCCCCCCCGGGACCAGTGAGCAGACGGCGTTCCAGGCAGACAATTGACGGAAGAGGGACCACGTGTCCCCGGCGTGCAGTTCAAAACCGTGATTAGGTTCCGTCACAAAACATTCCCTTAAAACAAAATGTCATTCTCATCCGAAAAACCGGCAAAAAAGCTTTCAAACGGCAATGTCACACTTGGACAAGAGTGAGAGGAAACGGACGCCGTCAGACACCTGCGAGTCAACAATTTGTCGGCACCACCGAGAGACCCCGAAGAACAAGAACACGAACACAGTTTCGCCCGGCGTTCCCATCTCCGGCAGCCTGGCACGGTCAGCGATTCAAAGGCTGATTGCTTCTGCCCTGCCTGTCACCTCTCATTCTGGATTTCATTCCTCGCCCGCTCGCTGCCTTGCCCGCGCGGCTGTCAGCCTGATGCGAAGGGGTGTCTGTCTCCCTCACAGCAGGGGTGGGCAGACGAGAGAGGCCCCTACTGCCAGTTCAGAGTGGACCTCGGCCAGCGCTGCAGGCACAACGCAGAAAGGGAACGGGCTTGCTCTTCCAGCAGGGAGAGCTGGAACGGTTAGGTAAATCTGCAAACACACAGATAATGGAAACCATTAAAATGATGCCTGTAAAAAGTGCTAACAGCACAGCAAATGGTTGCGTTCTAATGGTAGAGAGTAAAGATACGAAATTGATATGCGGCCTGGTTTCTACATGTAGACAGAGAAAAGAAAAACATGTACATCTATCACCTATTTTAAGAATAAAAAAGGCCCAAGATGGGGAGTCTAAAACCACACCCTGGGTGGGACTGGGACCCATCGGCCGCCCACGCGGACAGAGCCAGGCAAGGACCCGTGCTCGTCTCAGCCCTCCTGTTGGGTGGACAGAGGAAGAACCTCCGCGAAGAAATTTGGACTACAATCCAGGGATCACCCTGGCTTGTGTTTTAAATCCGTACTGCCAGCGTGATTCAAAGAACCTCAAGCGGAGAATTTAACCCGAAATAGGCTTGGGTTGGTGGCGCCCCCAAATGGCTGACAAAAAGCAAACACGAGTAAATCTCTGGGGAGAACAGGACCTCGGAGAGGCGGGCAGCAACTGTGAAAGATCCCGCATCCCGGGACTGATGCAGCAGGACACGCAAAGCCTTAAAAGGGGCCGGTTCGGGGGTGAGACTACAGACCAAAAGCACTTTAATGTAATGCATGCTTTATACGCACTATGTTTTTATAGATTGCAGACATATTTAGATGATGTGGATTCGGTTTACATAATGTATTTTATATAGTGACGGTATATTTAGTATTTGGAAAGCAAAATAATTTCATTTTAAACTTTTGTCGTAGGGGGGTTTTCGAGGAACTCGTTGAAAAACACAACATTATCCCAACATTCTCCTGAATGGGAGGGCCCTTCATCCCTCCTTGCCCCTCACCCTGGGCTCCCGCCAGAGCCATCCCGATAACTCAGTCCAGTGAGCCCCCTTCCTGTCGTCTTGTGAGAGTCCGGGGACACAGAGAAGGTAACTGAGGGTCAGACTGTGAATGTGTTGAGAGGGGTATCATCGCCATCATTAACATTTTTTTACTTATTTTTAGAGAGGGGGAGGGGAGGGAGAAAGAGAAGGAGAGAAACATCATCAGTTGTTGTTTAAGTGCCCGACCAGGAATAGAACCAGTGACCTTCCTCTTTGCGCTTTTTAGGAAGACGCCCAGCCAACTGAGCCACACGGGTCGGGGCGCCATCGTTAATAGTTTTGAGCACTGTTATGTGCAAGCTACTGGACTACCGCTGGCAGGAGGGGCCCGCTGTACGAAGGCACCAGTCTCCTCTTGGCTTAGCTGACAAAGGGTCGTGAGCGCCCCTCACGGGCCGCGGTAGGAATTGGAAGACAGACACGAAGGCCGGGGCGCTAGAACCCGCACGTCCGTGAAGACTGGACGAGGCGATAGATTCAGGGTTTGGACATTTGGGGCTTCTGTGTATACAGAACATTGACTGGGGTGTGGGTATTAGGTGTTTATTTCCTGGGGGTGGAGGGCGGGGCTCACACAAAAGATCAGGAAACTGAAGTCGCTCGGGGGAGGAAGAGCCAAGTCAGGCCTAAAGCTGACGTCTTTGGGAATTAAGGACTTTCTGGAGCCCCTATTTTGTGGTTTACAACAATAGCATTTTGAGTGCCTCCACCACTGGGGTAAATCTGGTGGCTGGATCACTCTTTCAGAGGAGGGGGGAGTCAGAATTAGGAATAGCTATTAAAATAACGGGAAAGAACATGGTGAGGAGAGAGACTTGTTCAGACACCTGACTCTGGGTTCACGCTGGGCGTTACCCAGGGGTGTTCATGCAGGCCCTTATCCCGAGCGCCAGAGACGTGCTGACAATAAGATTTAACCCCTCTTCCCAGGGAGATGATCAATGACTGCCCAAGACTGCTACTTCGAGGCCAAAAATCTACGACATAACAATAAAGAACCTATTTATGCAGCATTTTACAGCCCCCTCCACCCCAAATAGGAACTGCTTTCATCGTATAGACTTAGTTCAACCTCTCCCCGACTCCCCAAGGAGAGGTGACCCTCCACCACGCTCCGTGGAAACTCAGTCTGAAATGGATGGGGAGCCCCAGGGAGGCCAGGGCTCACTAGACGGGGCTGGGGACATGCCACTCCGGGCCGGACCCCAGCCCAAGCCCAGCAGCACCTGGCAGGCAGTGCTCCCTCTCGTGCCTCTCGTGAGTGCTTCAGTTCCCAGCACAGCGGCGGTCTGGCCGCGCACCCAGGGTTATGTAATGCGCATCTGTCATGGTCTATGTGACAGGGGGGCTTAAAAAAATAATGGTGACATATAAAATTCACAGCGATAGTTATCCCACGGAATGCTAGGTGAGACGGCACCATCACCCAGGCACAGGTAGTCAGATCCAGGTGGATGTGCGGCAGGTCACCAGGCATTTCCCACACCCGAGCGCGCATCGGCATCCAGGCTCTCTCACACCAGGCACGCAGTTCGGGGGAGGCCGCTGGGAGGACTCCGTCTCCGGCGGGAGGGCGGCGGGGGCAGGGCGGGGCCGCACGGGGCAGGTGCGGGCCTCGGGCGGCGGGAGCGCGGGGCTCCAGGGGCCGGCCCGCCAGGCGAGTTCCGCAGCCCGCCCCGGCGCCCGCCCCTCGCCGCCCGCGGCTCCTCCTCGCTTCGCCATGGTGGAGCGAGGCGACGCGGCGCCGCTGCTGCGCTGGGCCGAGGGCCCCGCCGTCTCCCCGCCGCAGGCCCCGGAGCTGCAGGCTGGAGGCCGGGGCTGGGGCGGCGGCGGGGGCGGCCGGGTGGCCGCGGAGCCGCGGAGGAGGCGGGAGACCGAGGAGCTGGGTGCCTCCGAGGTGCTGCTGCAGCCCGGGCGCCTGGAGCTGGGCGACGTGGAGGAGGACCAGGTGGTGGCCGTGTTCGTGGTCACCTTCGATCCCCGCTCGGGTGAGAGCCTCTCGGGGACCGGGGCGGGGAGAGGGTCGCCGCCCCCACACCGGGCTCCGCGGGTGGCGAGTGGCGGGGGAGGGGCTCGCGGCGCGCGCGCCCACACACCTGCACCCCCACCCCGCCGCCGGGCGCCTGCGGGGCGAGCGGGCCGAGTGCGTGCGGTCCGGGCGTCTGGGCGCGGGGCGCGGGGCTTTGTTCGCTGCACCCTCCGACCCCCTCTGCTTTCCGTCGCGCAGCTTCTCAGCGGTTCGGGGTCGGCGCCCCCGGCCCCACTGCCGTGTTTGCGCTTCCCCAGTAACAGAGGGTCCTGTTTGCGGCCACGGACACACGGGCTTTTGTTTTGTTTGCGTGTTGGGCTGAAAGGTCCCCCCCCCACCTTTAAGAGGAGGAACGCCCTGCAGGTTGGCTCCTGAAACTGAGTGTCCGAAGCTCGCTCCCGCCCTCCCCACACCCACCCCGCTCTCCACCTGTCCCTGCTCGGGAACTTTCTAAGCGGCCAAAGTCACTTTCTCCGATCGCATTATTTTGAGGAATTAATGTGGGCGGTGTTTGGAGGGAGGAGGGGCATGGGATTGGGGGACTGAGCTGGAGACGGACTGAAGATCGGGGAAGCCTGCTCAGGTGGGCCCTTGGTGTCCGGAGAACGGAAGGATGGTGGCACGCAGCCTTCACCCGGGCCACCCGGTCAGGAAGCGTGCACTTTCGCGGTGAGAGACCTCACGGGGTCAGAAGTGAGGGGACAGATCCCTCGCTCGGCCAGTCCTGGCCCGCGAGGGGCCTCTCACCCGAGAGTTGCTTGTTGCTTCCTGATCTCCTTTGGAGGCGGAGGGCGAGGTCATGACTCCGCGGTTTACGAACGCCCAGGTGTGCCTTTGTGTCCACGAACTCCCGCGGAGTTGCTGGCCTGCGGAGGGCCTGTTAGCGCAAGATGCACACCTGCTGCTTTCTGGGATTCCCCTCCTGGTCCTGCCGTGGCGAGCGGGGGCCCACTGTGGAGAGTTGGGTGGGTGCCGTGCAGTGGGGTGAAGCGTGGTAAGGACCCTGAGAAGGGGGTGCAGACAGGGCAGCAGGGAGGGTGCCCGCGAGGTAATGTGACTGTGCTCGGGGAGTGTGCACCAGCGGGACTCGGCAGTGGCCTGCACTGGGAGGAGACCAGGCCTCTGACTCTGCCTGTCCCTTGGCGGCGTCCCCGTGGCTCTCACGTGGTTTTGACTGCGACCCACCCCGTGAAATTAATCTGACATCGGATGCATATCCTCACGTGCATACTTTCGTGACTCCCGCAGAAGTGTCACGAAATAGTACCAGCCTCTTGTACGTGTATGTAGTGCGTACTGGTGCTTCCTAATCCATTTGTAAAAATGTTTATGCTATTCACACATTGATTCACATATGCTTAGGCCTCCCGGACACCAGTCGTTTGAAAAGCTGTTCTTTTTTGACCAAAGTAACCCTTCCTGCTAGACAAAAACAGATACTTTGTAATTGATAATATTCATTATACCCTAGCGCATCACCTACAGGTCAGTATAGCAGGTCCTCCAATAACATTGTTTCATTCAACTGCTTTTGTGATAACATTGATGGGTGGGGGGGGCAGGATCGATTCCTGACCAGGGCCGCTGTCTGTGGAGTTGTCACATTTTTCCCTGTCCCTGTGTGGGTTTTCTCCTGGGACTTCAGTCTCGCCACCCCCTCCCCCCGCTCCGACTCCCTGCATCCCAGGGATGGGTGCACGAGGTGAATGGCGTTTCTAAATGGCCCCATCTGAGTGAGTGTGGGTGCGAGTGTGGTTGCGAGTGTGCCCTGCAGTGGACAGGTGTCCTGTCCAGGTTGGTTCCCACCCGCGCCCTGGGCTGCCAGGAGAGGCTCCAGCCACCTGCGACCCTTAACTGGCACGAGCAGATTGGAAAAGAGTTATTTTACTTGTTTGTGTTCCTCTTCCTCAAATGCACGTGTAGCTAACATTTCCTTCAATGTTTAATATTTGAAGCATTTTTCGGGGCCTTTATTTAGAAAATTGATGATGTTTTTGAGACCAGAAATAGGTTGTAGGAACCTACCTCTTGTTTCTGTCCATTAGCCTTTGGTAAAATTGGTTTTGTCATAGGCCCTTTCACTCTGAAGCCTCAGTTGGGAAGACCCGAGGCAGGGTCCAGGTTAAGTGAGGACTTCCTGTTGATGGGAGGGTGAGATTCAGTCTGGGAAGTGCTGGACAGCAGCAGACGAAATGGGGCGTCGGCGGGGGTCTGCCTGAGCAGTGGTGGCTCTGGCAGAAGCAGGCAGGGAGGGGAAGGAGGGAGGAAAGTCCCGTGTCAGCCACAGGTGCAGCGGCTACAGATGAAAGCAGGCCGGCGCCCTCGCCCTGCCGGGGCCGTGGCCGGCACAGCCGGTCCGCGTGGGGGCGTGGGTTCGTGTGGGCCAGGCCCCAGCCCCGTGCCTCGTGGTTTTTCAGGCCACGGTCAGTGTGGAAAGAAGGGATTGCGAATGATTCCCGGACACTGACGTCACGCAGGCAGGCGTTTTGCTATAAGGCTGTTTCGTTTGATCCTGGTCCCCACCGTTACCGGATGACCACTTACACCCAGTTTATACGTGAGGCTGTCACTCTTCTGGATACAGAAGAAGAGAGTAACTCTTTTATACCGTTAGGTACGAGGTTTGGAAGGCTGGGTTGGGCATCCGCAGGGACAAATCTGAGAAGACGTTCTTTCCACTGGACTCATGATTGGAAGATGATGGTTGGTGTAGGGTCTACAAATGGTTGAGGACTTGGGGGCTTGTGGGTGTGTGTGTGCATGTACACACACACTCTCTCACTCTGACATCCACACACTCAGCCTTTATCTGCAGCAGGGAGTCCCCCGGATGGCGGTGCTGGCCATCTGGGCCACAAAGCTGCTATTGAAACCAGGCCCAGATGCTCGCGGCGCAAGCTGGCGGGAGAGGGTGGCGGCCAGAGGGTACCGCTCTCCCATGTGTTCAGCCCGCTCTGTAGGGCCCCGATTTAAAATTTTTATTTTGTTCTGTGGGTTTCTAGTAAAATGTCCTCGCTTTCCTCTGTTTAGTTAAGGGGAAAGGTATCGTCACGCTTGGAAATCCGCCCTCCCCCTCCCCCTCCCCGTGGAGGGGCACAGCTGCCTCGCCCCGGGACTGAGGGCTTGCGTGCACGCCCGAGGCAGAGAAAGCTTCGGACCCCCAGTGCAGGACACCTGTGACTCCTTCTCCTTGGGCTGTTTGTTCACGAGATCCACTTTGAGTGGCTACAGTTTCCCCAGAGTTACTTTCTGGGTGTGTGGGGGCAACTCCTGCCCTGTGTGTGTTTGTATTGGGGTGGCCTGGGGCGTGGAGGTGGGGGTGACGGAGGGGCAGAGAGCCCACTGAGATTTTTAAGGTGTTCCTTTCCCTTTTGTTCTCCTGATTAAGGATGAATTACTCTCTGCGCCTCCCTCAGTCGCTACCAGTGCCTCAATTACACCTAAACACCTATTTAATGCGCTGCACCTGAATGCTCCCATGTTTATGTCAAATGAGTGCACACAAATCACTCCCACGCACTTCAATCTGCATACCCTCTCTGCGCGGCCAATGACGCGCGAGCGTTTCCTTTCCAACGATGGGGCCGGAGGAGCAGCCCGGGGATGAGGGTAGGCGAGGTGTCTGGGGCCTGACCTGGATGCCGCCCAGGGCATCTGACTTGTGCAGACGGTGAGTGGCTGCAGCCTGGGGTGGGGCCGTGACAACGTGGAGTGAGAATGGGGAATCGGGAGGATAATGTTGAGATAGGAAGAGCAGTCCCGAGAGTGGCTGGCGGGCGGGCGGAGACCAGGAGAAGGCCAGTTCCGAGAGCCAGCAGGAAGGTCTGAGGAGGATGAACGCGGCCACGTCCTCTCTCCGCCGTTTCCATCAGATGGCAGAGAAATAGGATTGCGGTCAGTCTCATCAATCCCACGCTGGCAGGACCTTTCCCAGGCGGCTGGTGACTCACCTGCCGTGGTTTTCAGAAGGAAGTCCCCGTGTGGCTCACCGCCGTGAATTCTGCTTCTTCTCTGGAGAGTCTATGGAGGGTAAACCAGGGGCGGGCATTCTAGCGCTCACCAGGGACTACGCACCTACTGTGTGTCGGGAACTATGCTGGGCATTTCAAGGACCTTGCTTTCAATCCCAACAGTCTTCTCTGTGACGACAAGAAAAACCGAGGGCCGGGGCTGCCAGCTCGTCTCCAGTCACAGAGCAGGAGGGAACGGAGCCCAGTGGCAATCCCGGGCGGCCTGTCTCCAGGGCGGGCCCTCCTTGCCCCCACCACACGGCCCAGGGTAAAAGGATACAGGGCCTGGGAAGTGGGAGGTTGTTTTCCATGTGAAATGCATGCCCTGGGAGTCGGCCCTGGGTTGGCCTGGGGCTGACTTGAATTTCCTCCTGCCTCAAGTTTCTTGATGCTGCCTCCTTCTTCCTTGGCTTTGGGTAGGTCCTCCTCCTAGGTGGTTTTCAGATTACATAGTTGCGGCGAATCAAGACCAAAACCAAGTGATACGGGCTGTTTACTTTTCTGGTGCCGGAGTCTGAGCCAGCTCATCTCTTGAGGTCTCTTCCCTGTGGTGTAGAGACCTCGAGGACGCTGGTACTCCTCGTCCTCCCCTCTGGAAGTAGGGCGTGGGTAGGGCACAGGGACAGTGGAAACGGAGGCCCACGGTGGAGAGGGGAAAGCTGGCCCGGGGAGCCGCACCCAGACTTCCAGCGGAGGCAGCCGCTGCTTCCGGCCTGAGACCTCACCTCGGGAGGAGACCCTTGACTGGGAAACACCTGACCGTGAACGAGGAGGAGGAAGGAAGCCGTGTATTTCCCCTTAGCAAGAGACTGTCTTGGCTCCAGAACATGGCCTTTTCTACTTTAAATACATGAGATGAGCTTTCGCACAGGCAGCCGGGGCTAATGCCTGTTCTCCCCAAGAAATGGTGGCTCAGGAACTCCGCATGTGCCCCGGGGGTCCGGTCACT